TCTGACTCCTACGCATAGGGGCAGCCAGGGGGTGCTGCAGGCGCTGCCCCCGTAGCTCCCATTAGCCGCAGTTCCCAGCCAATGGGAGCTGCAGAACTGGCGCTTGGGATGGGGACAGTGTGTGGACCCCTCTGGTTGCCCCTACATGTAGGAGTCAGAGGGAGGACATGCCGCTGCTTCCGGGAGCCGCTTGAGGTAAGAGCAGCCCAGAGCCTGCACCCCGACCGCCTCTCATGCCCCAACTCCGTGTCCCAGTCCGGAACCCCCTCCCGCATCCTGAACCCCTCATTGCTGGCCCCACCCCAGAGCCCGCACCCCCAGCCCTGAGCCCATACCTCCTCCCACTCCCCAGCCCCTTGCCTCAGCTTGGAGCCCCCCTCCCATACTCCGAACCCCTCAGCTCCACCCCCAGCACCCTCCTACACCCCAAACCTCTCATCCCCATCCCAGAGTCTGCACCCGCAGCTGGACCCCTCACCTCCCCCTTTCCCCCGCACCCTAACCACCTGCCCCAGCCCAGAGCCCCCTCCCACACTCTGAACCCCTCACCCCCAGCCCAGAACCCCACCCTGCACCCCAAATCCCTGATCCCTGGCCCCACCTCAGAGCCTGCATCCCCAGCCAGAGCCCTCACCACCTCCCGCATCCCAACCCCCTGAGCCAGCCCGGTGAAAATGAGCAAGTGAGTGAGGGTGGGGAGAGTGAGTGACAGAGGGCGGGGGGACAGAGTGAGCGGGAGGCGGGGACTTCAGAGGAGGGGAGGGGTAAGGGTGTTCGGTTTTGTGCAAGTAGAAAGTTGGCAACCCTATGACTACTGTGATTCTTCCCTCTATGAGACAGCAAACATGGAAGGGCATGCTCAGTCCTGTCATGGCAGTGGGCAGCTCCTGCCTACCATTGAAGGGATAGATGAGATGTTCCCGAAGCCATGAGGGTGCTGATTGCCAAGATGCAGGTGTCAGGTGCAATATGTGACAAAGACCCAATATGAGGGACACCAAAAAATGTATTCGTGCTAGAACCTTTACATGGTTTCTGAATCATTTCTTTAGTATATGGGACTTTTCATTCGCTTGATATTTTCTCTCTGTTGTAAAGAATTTTTAACACTAAAAGGTACAGGGCATCAAATGTGCCGAATGTGGGTATCTTGGGGAGTCAAATGAATGACAGCCCTCCAGCGGTAGGTTGAGAGCACTAGTACAGTGGCCCCAGGAGAATGGATGCTACCAAATTATGACAAATAAATTAACATGTCAGATAAAGCCCTCAAGATATATAAAGAAACCTTATTCAAGAGTGCCTGGCTGCCAGAATGAATTTCCAGGGAAAATCCTCTAGAACAGTAGCATCTGTTCATTACTGAAATACTGGCAAAGATACACATATGCCATTGGGAGGACAGGCTGCACTATAAAACTGCTGCTAACCGAAGGGTTATGCAAGCAAATTTCTGAAAGGGAATCCCATTTGGCCAGCTGCTGTTTTGGCCAACTGTGGAAAATCATTGCTTCTAAAGGGGGAAACCATGCAACTTTGATAGTAAAACAAACAAAAGAAACTCAGAGAACATTCAGTTTGCCTGCTTCAATGTTCAAAAGAAAAGAAACGACAAATATAAAGTTGCACATGCAGCCACAACTCATATAACTCTGTCCTGCTGTGCGGAGGCATTATGATGCAGTCTCATACAATCACATACTCTTGCTCAAATAATACACTACCAGTTATTTACTTTAAAAACGAACCTGATTGCACCTGGAGAGGTGGTTTCTGGGGCCCCTTATGAGGGATTCAGCCCTCTCTTAAAATTATTCAGGCTGGATGCTATGCAGTATGTTTCAGCATATTTTTCAGGAACAAAGTATAAATCTTTCTGCACAATGATGTTTAATGCTGTATTAGGCCCCCAGTCCTGCAATGAGCGCTGCATGACTACTAAAGTTGGACAGTTTTAAATCAGCAGATCTGCATAACTTACATCCAAGAGTTTTAAGGGAGCTCGGTGGAGCAATAATATTGATTTTCAGTAAGTCTTGGAACAACAGGGAAGTTCCAGAAGCTAATGTTGTGCCAATATTTAAAAATGGTAAAAGGAATGACCCAGGTAATTATAGGCTTGTGTCTCAAGGTGCTCACGCTCCCTGGGCCATGCCTCCTACTGGCTGCTCTGGGAATAGCTCTCTTCTAGGTCTGACACCTCCCCTTGTAGTCACTCCACCTGTTGTCCTCTCTCTCTCTCTCTGTGGCCCCTTTCTTGCACCAAGAGCTGCAGCTTTTCTTTTTGCGATAGCCCTCTGGCCAGGTCACTATGTGGTTTCCTCTTCCGGACCTGCTGCCCTGGCACTACCACTTTATCAGTGGCTGGTAGGGGAACCTGGGCCCGCCCACTACTCTGGGTTCCAGCCCGGGGATCCTGTAACATGCAGCCAAGGTCTGCTCAGTCCCCACCCTCACTGTTCTCTTCCTGGGCTGCTTCTTGGCCACCTCCCACAGGCTTTGTTCTCACCCCTTCCCTCTTCTGAGCATGCCCTTCCCTCAGAGTCAGTGTGCTTCTCTTTCCCTGGGTTCCCTTCTTCCCTCTCTGATGCAGAGAGTGGCTGCAGACTTCCTCACTGCCACCATTTCTGTTGCCAGCTTCCTGGCGTTATACTAACCTAGCTACTCCTGCTCAACTGAGCTCCACTTTCCAATCAGGGGACGCTTGTCCAGCCTAAGCCCCTCATGTGTGGCCTATCTCATTAATTGGCCCTTTCTCAACTTTCTCAGGAATGGTGTGGGGTGAACATCCCATCACAGCCTGCAAGTCTGACATCAATCCCAGACAAGATAATGGAGCAGTTGTTATGGGAGTCAATTAATAAAGAATTAAAGGAGGGTACTATAATAAATGCCATTCAACATGGATTTATGGAAAATAGATTCTGTCAAACTAACTTGTTGGCTTTTTGATGCGATAAGTTTGATAAAGGTAATAGTGTTGCTGTACTATACTTAGCCTTCTGTAAGGATTTAACTTGGTACTGCCTGACATTTTGATTAAAAAAACTAGAAAGATATAAAATTAACACGGCACACGATGGCTGATGATGGCTAACTGAGGTCTCAAAATGTAACTGTAAACAGCCATTGAACAGGTGTGTTTCTAGTGGGGGTCCCTCAAGGATTGGTTCTTGGCTGTATGCTATTCAACATTTATTAACGACCTGGAAGAAAATATAAAATCATCACGGATAAAGTTTGCAGATGAACAAAAACTGGGGGTGTGCTTAATAATGAAGAGGATAGGTCACTGATTCAAAATTATCTGGATTGCTTAGTAAGCAATATGCATTTTACTATGGCTAAATGTAAGTGTATACCTCTTGGAACAAGGAATGTAGGATACTTACAGGATGAGGGACTCTATCCTGGGAAGCAGTGACTCTAAAAAAAGATCTGGGGTCATGGTGGATAATCAGATGAACATGAGCTCCCAGTGTGATGCTGTGGCCAAAGGGGCTAACGCAATGCTTGGATGCATAAACGGGAATCTCAAGTGAGACTAGAGAGGTTATTTTACAGCTGTATTTGGCACTGGTGGGACTGCTGCTAGAATACTGTGTCCAGTTCTGGTGTCCACAATTCAAGAAGGATTTTGATCAATTTTGAAGAGTTCAGAGAAGAGCTATGAGAATGATTAACATGCTGTGTAGCGATAGACTCAAGGAACTCAATCTATGTAGCATCATAAAGAGAAAGTTAAGGGGAGGCTTAATTATAAGTACATAATGGAGAACACATATTTAACAATAGGCTCTTCAATCTAAAAGACAAAAGTATAACACAATCCAGTGGCAGGAAGTTGAAGCTAGATGAAGTCAGACTAGTAATAAGGTGTTAACTTTTAACAGTGAGGATAAGTAACCACTGGAATAACTTACCAATGGCGTGGTGGAGTCTCCATCAGTGGCAATTTTTAAAACAAGATTGGATGTTCTTCTAAAAGATCTGCTCCAGGAATTATTTTGGGGAAGTCCCATGGCCTGTGTTATACAGGAGGTCAGACTAGATGATCACAGTGGTCCCTTCTGCTTGGAACCTATGAAATCTATAAATGGATTCACATGGAGCTTATTGAAGAGTTTAGGGCTACGTTTGTTTTCTAAGTGGTGCTACCTCCCTTCTTGGTCATCTTTATGAGAAGGCTGTTTTGTTCAAAAGGTACAATGAATAGAATCCCCTCTGCAAACACATGCACCCCCACAGATGGGTTTATGATAGCCTAAAGAGGAAAGTTACTACAATCCTCTTGTTAAAAAATTGGTAGCATGACACTGACCATAGCAAAATCTTGTGGATTTTTATATGTATTGTTACATTTTTTTGCCCTTTTTTTAAAAATCAATGAATAATCTTACAATGTTCAACTAGAATCTTTGTGTAAACCAGTATTAGGTAACCATGAGTGTATTTTTCATCACTGAAGTACAGAGAGAAGGGAGAGTGTTGTTATAGTGGAAGAATAACGTCTGTTCAGTTCTCATTGAATCTTGTACAACAGTTTTTTTATAAGAGTTTAAGGGATGATTTATGAATAGTGAATGTTCACACTATGCCACTGGCAAATTGTTTAATGTATTTTTTATAAAATCCAGAGGTTGTAAATATGTATGTATGAACTGGAATCACTGTAGAATGTGTTATAAAGTAGTTTATCAGATTAGACATTAATAGTGAAATCCTGGCTTCATTGACAGCAATGGCAAAAGTCTCACTGATGTCAGTAGTGCCGGGATTTCATCTCAGGACTCTTGTTCATATTAAAAATGCCCATAGGGAAATTCCATAGTGAACTTTGTTCTATGCAAATTATGTACATAGTTACACTTTGATCTTAAGCTGAAAGCCATTTTGTTTGAGAGCTACAATAACTTAACAGAGCAATGTCTCTTGCTAGATGTTTTAATATGTAAAATGGATTAACTTGTGAGTAACTTTTATGTTACATTTGTCTGTAGATCAGCAATTCAGAAGCTCGGAGCGGAAGTATTTGAAAAGGTTTACAGCTATCTTAAGAAAGCAAGACAGCAGAATGCAAGTGAAGATGAGATCCGGGAACGCCTGGAGAAAGTGGTTTCTAGAGCAAGCGACTGTTTTGAAGTGGATCAACTTCTCTACTTTGAGGATCAGCTGCTTGCCTTAGCTCCAGTGTAAAATGTACATCAGAAATGGACAACACTGGAGATATGTGAAAATGCTGAGCTACACCCTTACGAGCCAGCCAACAAGTACTGTATTACTGGGGGCCAGGGAGGTGCACATCATGGTGACAATCTTTTCCCCCCACTTGTTTTATTGCATCAACAAGTGTATTCCCTTAGGGCTAGATTCTTCACCCACGGGTTGTTCCCATTGACTTTAATGGTGCACAGTCAGGGTCCCAATGAGGTCAATGAGAGTTTTGCAGCTGATTTGTATGGTAGCAGCAGTGGGCTCTGATCCAGCAAGACATTAAGCACATACTTAAATGTGTTGCTGGATTTGGCCTTGAACAGCAGTATGTGTATATATATGTGTGTGTGTGTTTATATTCACAAACATGTGTACGTGTGTATATATGGTTACTCAGTTATCAGAAATCACACATTAGTTATTGCTCTGTTGAAGGCCTGTATTTCACCTGAGTGCCTTTTGAAAGAGCCATGAAAAAGAGGGAGAGAGAGAGACATGAGGCCTGACCTGAAGCCTGCTGAAATCCGTGAAAATATTTCCTTGAGCTTCTGTGGGTTTTGCATCACGCCCATAATGTACAACTAGAAAAATAAATCCATTTTGGCTTGTTCACAGATCTCGTTAACTTTTTATCTCCATATTTATGTTGCCTTCTCTAAAAGCACAATACTTCTAGTTATATCAAGTACCCCTCACCCCACTCATTATGACACCTTACCTTCTCTTCCTAACATTTTCCCTTTTCGTTCTGCAGGCTGATCACCTTCACCATGACTTGTTAAACTCTAAATACGGAATAAATACAATACTATATAACAGGTTCTCATGTGAGCCCTGGGCCAAATTCACTTTAGACTTCCAGCCATTATCAGACCCCTTACATTGCCTGTCCTTGTGCAGCACACTGCAATCCTTTGAATGTACTCAGGTGGGGAGTGGGCAACAATGGCCCTCAAAATCATTGCAATTTGATCTTGGGCAGGCCATTATGGCTGGGAACTGCAGATACTTAGCATCTCTAGAAAGAAAGTCAGCCACTAACCACTCTATGCCTCAATTTGCCAATCTGTAAAATGGGACTAATGATACTTCTTATGGTGTGTGGCTTCTGATGGCACAAACAATGAATTAGGTGTTGGTATCTATCTATCTCTATCATGGCAGCAGCATCCAGAGACATCAAAAGCATCCATCCACCATCAAGAGGATCAAGCGGGCAATCCATAAGCAGATGGTGTGCTGTTTGTTCTTGAGGAAGGGGAGCTCAAGAAGCTCCAATGGTAAGATACAAGTTAAACTGCCCATGACCACAACATATCTTGTTGTAGCGAGGAAGGATGTTTTGGTTCATATGGTTGTTCGGAGTGGCATGCGAGTGATCATCCAGAGAGACTATGGGAAGCAGATCTGAGTTGTCTATCTGCTAGGAAATGCACCAGCGATCCAAAATATATTCCCTTACCACCTGTTGCTGTTCCTTAGAAAAGTCGTGTCTGATGTATTGTCTGAGAGGCTCAACTATTTAGAAAAGGGGCATCTTGACTTTGGCCAGTGTGTATGATATGGCTTTGAGATTAAATTGTGAAGTAAGCTGTCTTGATAGTTAGCTGTGCGCAGTAATGTGGCCAGGGCCTTGCCCTCACACCTAACTGCAGCAGGCGCAATGCCAGCCAAGACCGGAAGTTTGGAGATGGGCGTCGTCCGCGTTGCACCAGTGATGATGCAAAGGGCAGAGTGGATCGTTGAGTCCAACTTTCCACAGTGACTTCTGGACCCTGTGCTGCCACACAGTATTAAACAGCTGCAATAACTAGAGCTTTGGTAGATGTCCATAAGGTTGCAGTGCCAGCACCCCATAAATTGCTGGCAAGCCTGCAGAGAAGTGCGACGTTCGATTTTAGCACATCTTCTCGATGTGCTGTTGGAAGGACAGAGAGTAGTCACGCTTTATAATAATACTGGCCCGCCTTTGTAAAGCGCTTTGAGATCCTTTGAAGGAAGGTGCTGTAGAAGTGAAGTCTTATTAGTCCATTTTAGTATTAAAACAAACTGTAGAAACAAAGAATTTGCCCATATAGCCAAACAAGGTAAGGCATTATGATCCCTCCAGCACAAATCGATTAGAGTATTTATTAGGAAGACAGAACAACATGGAGGCAGATCTCCACTGTGAACTTTCACAAAAGCAGGGGTCAAAAGGCCTATTTCTCACTTGTGGTGATTAGTGACCATACACTGAAGTAGTGGCTCTAGGTCAGGACTGCTTGAGGGCCCTTTTACATTATCTAGCTCCGTATGTAGGGCCCACATCACCATACTGGCTGTTTCTGTTCCTGAACATAATTTCTATTAAACCTATTAAAAGCTGAAGTGCCCAAAGCACAGGAAGCAACTTTTCCCCGGATATGGGAGAAATGCCTGGGGCCTGCAAGAGCCAATTAGCCAGCAAAGCAGCCAATAAATAATTTATATATAGCAATACTCCTGGGGGCATTCTGTGCCAAAAAATATAAAAATTCTGCACCAAAACATTGAAATTTCTGCTCACAATATTTTAAAATTCTGCACATTTTATTTGTCAAAATAACACTACATAATCATGCCAGTTTCAATTATTTTGGTAATTTATTTCAAAATATCTGTCAGCAAGTATGTCTGTAACAATACAGACGCACACAAAAATTCCCCGAGGAGTAGAGAGTTAAAGAAACCCTTATGACAACCCAATTCCTGTTTCTCTGCCCCTTTCCCCTCCCCAGAGCCCAGCCGGGGGGCCCCCACAGCCTATATACCCAAACCCCCTCCTCCCCAGAGCCCAGCCATGTGGCCCTCCAGCCCATATATCTGCACTCCCTCCCCCGCAGAGCCCACCCATGGCCTGCTTGGGGCAGCCAATGGAAAGGGGGGGGGCACGTCCGGGTCTTCGGTGGCAATTCGGCGGCGGGTCCCTCACTGCCTCTCGGAGGGAAAGACCCGCTGCCAAATTGCTGCCGAAGAATGAAGTGGCTCGGTAGAGCTGCTGCCGAAGTGCAGCCGATCGCAACTTTATTTTATTTTATTATTTTTGTTTCATCGCTTGGGTGGTAGGATACCCCATTTGAAAATCATGTTTTCTGCTAGATTAGGACTAATAGGGATACAAGCAGTCCCATTCCTATGGCTTCATGAGTAGCCTTCTACTCACGCCAAACACACATCAGATAGTTACTAAGATAACATTAACTGCATAGGTAATAAGACTAGAAGGAAAACTCATGAGCAGAGAAAGTCCTATGATATTAGTGGTGGAAAAAGGTGGCTTGAATGTGGGCTCTGCTTCTGCACTCCTGTTTCCACTAAATTTATGGTATCTACACCCAAGTCTAATAGTCTTAAATAAGGGAATAAAGAGAAAATTTTACCTACAAAACCTAGTGTACTGGCATAGCTCTGTATGCACAGAGGAATCGTTCCAGTTCCTTTATGGCTAGGGGCAGAGAGGTGAGCTGAATAAAAGCTGAGGTTCGCTGAAGTGTAGTTTATTGAAGAGCCGAACCCACCCACCCTTTCCTTAGAACCTCTTTTTTGCTTAAGCAAACATGATTTGGCAGGAGACTGAGTAAGAGTGAGAGTGCTCATAAAACAGATGGCTAGAGGCTGTAGGCTTCTTAGCCTCCACCCAACCACGTAAGGATTTTAAATAGAGATATGGAGAGTGGGAAATATCTGTAGGGACCCACATACGCACCTTGGAATTTTATCAGATTTTTCTTTAATTTCCTCCTTGACTTATTGAATGTATAGTTCCCGTGTTATTATCCAGATATCTGCACTCTTTACAGGGACTTTAATAACCCATCGTTCACACCTCTTTGGCTTAACTTGTGTAATTTATAGAATCTACCAGTCAGAAAGGGCTTTAGAACGCGCATAGAACCCTGGAGAAGGAGGCCCACCAAGCAATTTCCCACTAATAGTCATTGCCTCTATTACAGGAGCTCCCTACTGGATCTCTTCAGTTCTCAGGCTGAACAACCAAGGAGCCCTCTTTTTCCTTACAACTAGACATCTGCTTTGCTCTTTGATCTGTCCCAGCCCCACAAAAGTATCACTTGGAAGAACACCTCCTGGCAGACAGTTCATGGGCAGGCCCCTTTCTCCAGGACTCAGCTGAACTAACAGCTCCAAGCTATCTCTGCCCAATCAGGGAAACCAAACCCAAAAGTAAGAATCAGCAGCTATGCTAGTAGAAGTGAAAGTCACAAGTCAGAGATGTTTTTGGAATATTTCACCCATCTGTTGTAACTTGCCACTAACAAGAAATGTAAGCTCCTTAGGGCAATGGTATCCATTGGCTCGGCTCTGGCGCCCCCTGGAATCGCGTGCTCACAGTGTCGGTATAATGGGTCCTACCAACTTGCAGTCCCCTCAGTTCCTTCTTACTGCCTGTAATGGTTGCTGGAACTACCTCATCCTTGCGTTTGCAAGTACTCCTTCAGTCAACTTTGCTCTACTTGTTGTATATAGTTACCTTTATTCGTAATTGTTAAGTTTTGGTTGTTAGACAGATAGTTAGGTTAGCGAACCCCGCTCAACGGGGCTAATTCCTGCCCACTACTGGGGCAAGCCTACGAGTGACCCCCATTCCAGCTGACTTCAGTGCCTGTGGGAAGCTCGCGTGTGGGATCTGCAAAGACTTCAGGCCCCACAGCAAAAAGGAGAGAGACACTAGGCTCAGATTTATCCTCATGGAGGCAGCACTTTGACCTCCCTCAGAGCCAAGTCACTCGGACTTGGCACTGAGTATTTCAACCTCTGTTAGGAGTGCTCCAGCTACTCTTAGGGAGACTCAGCACCATTCCGCATCTCTAGCACAGAGAAAGGATGCTCTGTCTGCCTCCCGTGAGCCTCAGCACTGCGAAGATCACTCCGGCAAGGAACTCTCAGCACTGCTCTCCATCACTGGTGCTGAGAAAGCAGCAGAAA